AGTATATCTTTCCATCTGTTTGTGTCATCTTCAATTTCTTTCATCAGTGTCTTATAGTTTTTGAGTATAAGTCCTTTGACTCCTTAGGTAGGTTTATTCCTAGGTATTTTATTTTTTTTGATGTGATGGTAAATGGGATTGTTTCCTTCTTTTTCTGTTATTTCATTGTTAATGTATAGAAATACAACTGATTTCTGTATAATTAATCCTGCAACTTTACCAAATTCATTGATGAGATCTAGTAGTTTTCTGGCAGCCTCCCTAGGATTTTCCACGTATAGCATCATGTCATCTGCAAACAGTGACAATTTTACTTCTTTTCCAATTTGAATTCCTTTTATTTCTTTTTCTTCCTGATTGCCGTGGCTAGGACTTCCAAAACAACGCTGAATAAAAGTGGTGAGAGTGGACATCCTTGTCTTGTTCCTGATCTTAGAGGAAATGCTTTCAGCTTTTCACCACTGAGAATAATGTTAGCTGTGAGTTTGTCATATATGACCTTTATTATGTTGAGGTATGTTCCCTCTATGCCCAGTTTCTGGAGAGTTTTTATCATAAATGGATGTTGAGTTTTATCAAAAGCTTTTTCTGCATCTATTGAGGTGATTGTATGATTTTTATTCTTCAATTTGTTAATGTGGTGTATCACATTAATTGATTTGTGGATATTGAAAAATCCTTGCTTTCCTGGGATAAATCCCACTTGATCATGATGTATGACCTTTTCAATGTACTGTGGAGTTGATTTGCTAGTAATTTGTTGAGGGATTTTGCTAGTTTTGTGACATTTTTCACAGAACTGGAAGAAATTTTTTTTAATTTGTATGTAAACACAAAAGACCCCCAATAGCCAAAACAACCTTGAGAAAGAAGAATGGAGCTGGAGGAATCATGCTCCTTGACTTCAGACTATACTACAAAGCTCAGTAATCAAAACAGTATGGTACTGACACAAAAACATACATATAGCTCAATGGAACAGGACAGAAAGTCCAGAAATAAACTCATACACTTATGGTCAACTAGTCTATGACAAAGAAGGCAAAAATATACAATGGAGAAAAGACAGTCTCTTCAAGAAGTGGTGCTGGGAAAACTAGACAGCCACATGTAGAAGAATGAAATTAGAACATTCTCTAACACCTTATACAAAAATAAACTCAAAATGGATTCAAGACTTGAATATGAGACTAGATAATATAAAACTCCTAGAGGAAAACAGGCAGAACACTCTTTGACATAAATTTCAGCAATATTTTTTCCAACCAGCTCCTAGAGTGATGGAGATAAAAGCAAAAATATACAAATGTGACCTAAAATGTGACTTAAAAGCTTTTGCACAGCAAAGGAAACCATAAACAAAATGAAAAAATCTACAGAATGGGAGAAAATATTTGCAAAAGACATGACCGACCAGGGACTAATTTCCAAAATACACAACAGCACAGATAGCTTAATATCAAAAAAACAAACAACCCAATCAAAAAATGGGCAGAAGACCTAAATAGACATCTTTCCAAAAAAGACATGAAAAGATACTGAATAGTGCTAATTATTAGAGGAATGCAAATCAAAACTACAATGTGGTATCACCTCACATCAGTCAGAATCACCATCATTAGAACTTCTACAAATAATAAATGCTGGAGAAGGTGTGGAGAAAAAGTTAACCTACTACACTGTTGGTGGGAATGTAAGTTGGTGCAGCCACTATGGGGGACAGTATGGAGGTTTCTTAAAAAACTAAAAACATACTTACCATATGATCCAGCAATCCCACCCCGGACATGTATATGGAGGAAGGTATTACTGGAAAAGACACATGCACCCCAATGTTCACAGCAGCATGATTTACAATAGCCAAGACATGGAAACAACCTAAATGTCCATCAACAGATGACTGGATGAAGATGTGGTATACACACACACACACACACACACACACACACACACACACACAATGGAATATTACTTGGCCATAAAAAGAATAAAATAATGCCATTTGCAGCAACATGGAGGACCTAGAGATTGTTATACTAAGTGAAATATCATATTATATCACTTATATGTAGAATCTAAAAAAAAGATAAAAATTCTACTTACAAATCAAAAACAGACTCATGGACATAGAAAAAAACTACGGTTACCAAAGGGGAAAGGGAAGGGGAGTATAAATTAGCAATTGGGGATTAACAGACACACATTACTATATATAAAATAGATAAACAACAAGGACCTACCGTATAGCACAGGGAACTATGTTAAATTTCTTGTAATGATGTATAATGGAAAAGAATCTGAAAAGAAAATGTGTATATATGTATGTATATGTATAATTGAGTCCCTCTGCTGTACAGCTTGAACTGACATTGTAAATCAACTGTACTTCAATTTAAAAAAAAAAGAGATGACTTGATACTTCCCATTTAAGGTACAGTTCAAGTATCTGTTTTGCGCCTAGTGGATTATCTGTAGTTCATCTGGAAAATGTGTCATGCTAGCCCTAAGGCAAGAAGTCAGCTTGGCCAGCTTTCTAGATTATATTCACAGTAGGCTTTTTTCCTGCTCTTTGTCTGGAAATCTTTGCCATACATATATGCAGAAGAGAACCTAGATAATATTTGCTGATACTGTCAATGCCAAGCAGTGGCTTGAAAGAGCTAAAGCTGCCTCATAATCTTCTTCTGGCCCCCCTAAGCCATAAACAGGCAACCTAGATTAAAAACACGGCTTCAGAGCAAACCTCCTAACCCCTGCTCCCACCCCTTCTAACTAGACTTTTAACTCTTCCATTTGGCAACTATGGGGCTACCCCTAGCTTAATATTAAATGAAGGGGGAGTGTGTGTGTGTGTGTGTGTTTATTATACCTTTGAAAATCAACATATGGCAATGATGACGTTCTCATGATGAAAGACAAATTCACTTGAAAACAGGGGAACCTGCTGAAAATCACTGACTTTATTAAAAAAAGTAGGTTTATGCAGTGGGTCAGTAATGATCAAAGAGGAGACCTTTTCTTCCTGTTCTCCTCCTCCAAAGGGAGAAAAGGAAATAATGATCCTTTTCACAAGTGTGTGCTCACCTCTGAGCCCGTTTCTAAGCTATTAAAGTAGCTGGGGTTGGGGGGTATTTTTACATTTACACACCCACACACGATAGACAAAACTCCAAGAACTGACATCCTAATTCCCCTAGTCAATGACAGGTATTCCCCAATTCAGAAATGGTTTATGTCTCTCATGTCTCTCAAGTTAAATTCTAAGTTGTTTAGTGGAACCTGAAATGCCTTCCCTCACAGATACATGTTCTGCATCCTAGTTCCGATCCTAAAAAGCTGAGTTAGCTCCTGACATAGTTCTACCCGTTAAACAAAACAAACTTGTGGAAGCCATGCTGGTTTCTATCTCATGGCATTTCTGTTACACAAACTCCCCTGCTCAGATTGAGTGGGAGATGCAGCCTTCCACAGTACCACTTCATTTTATAAAAGGGCATCTTTTACATACTCCATCTCATTCATCTCAGAGTGTAACTTATTGATTCAGATCAGCTTCTACTCTGACAGAGGATGGGGCAGAAGTATGAAGACTGTGGGAATCAAGGAGAAGAGAACATAGCTAAGAAAGGGAGTGAATTTGTGGGAGGAAGGGTCATACCCAGGCTTTTAGGATCCTTTGTCCTTTTCCACCCCTGAGGATGAGTGTATGAAGATAATGAAAAGCAGTGATGAAGGCGGGAAGTAGCATAAAGTTACTTCTTCAGCTTCTACAGATCACACTTGCTAATGGCAGGTATCATCTGTCTCTTTCTTTTTTCCAAGACTGTGGCAGGTGAGTCATTGCCAACTGTTTACTCCCTACAGGGTTAGTCTTGAGCTTCTGAAGATTAGGACGTAGAGCTGCTAAAACTGAGTTCCCATTTCTCTGTAAGAGGCCAGTACATGCTCAGATATATTACAGGCTCTGCTACCCACGCTATGCCTTAGGAGGCTCAAACTCACAGCATCAGAGAAACAACTGCTGATGTTGGCCCAACCAGGGCAGCACCCACCCCAGAACCTAGATTCCCATCCTTCAGCTTCCCAGGCAGCCCCCCCGCCTGCTGGGTCAAGGCAAGCCCTGAACATGCCTAACTCTTCCATTCCTGAGACCGACCAGCCACTCCTGTACATGGCTTTGTGCTCATAAAGTGCAGAGTACCTCCAGATATTTCTGACAGTGACATCAAGAGGATATTTCATAAGAAGGTATAAATGCCTTCTCTAGAGAGAACCCAAAAGTTTAGCAAGGGGTTCCTTCAGGCAACTTACCCTTTCTTCTAGTTATCACTATGTATATATTACGAATGTTCATGGCCACAAAGAGTTATACTCCCAATATGTAATTTGGGATATCTGTAAATGAGGTTTTGTTTAACTTTTAAGAAAAATAATAAATGCTCTGGACTTCTCCAAGAGGGACCCATCTCACCTGGGACCATTCTCAATGACAGCTGGATTACCATGGGTTGGGTATCACATTTTGTTCTGGGGGAACAGAAGGCAGAGCCTGGAGAACTAGCACTAGTGGAGGCGGGGTACCAGGAGGCAAACTACAGCTAAGGGAAGACAGGTTGTAACTGACAACTATCCAAAGATGGAAGGGACTGCTTCTTCCTCAAGTAGTAAGCCAGGCTGGCCTTGGAGGGACAGGGACACTGTACAGGGGCTTTGACTCTAGGATTGGGGTCTGGACTGGCTTAGTGGAGGGCCAAAACTCCCTTTCAGGGGCAACTGTGTTGCCTAATGAGAAACACTAGCATAGAGATGCCCATCTGGCGGGTTAGGGAAATAAGAAATGGGATAAAGGGGAGAAGAAAAAGGGGAAAGCTATAGACCTTTACAAATTAGGACAGATTTCTTTAAGTGGCAAAAATTTGGTGGTGGAAAGGGTGGGAGTAAGAGGGGAGAAAAAGAAGGCTGCACAGAGCTTGGCTGTGGAAACGAAGTGGGTGACTTACCGTCAAAGGCAAGGAGCAGATGGCGAAGGTGATGGTCATTATAGCCAGGAGAATGAGATGGTCCGTCTCCTCTGCCATGGACACCCTTTCCCCTCTCCTGCGGCTGCCGCCCAAGGAGGGTCCGCAGCGGCTCCTCTTGCCCCGGCGGTGCATGCGGATGAGGTTGAGGATGACACTGAAGTTGCAGACGAGCACCGCAATGATGAGGAGCAGCAACAGGGTGGCGTAAAGCCTAAGGTACGTAGTCTGCTCGAGCCAGATGAAGCACCACGTCCCAGGGCAGTACTGGGCGTACTGCCTGTGGCCCAGCAGCGGCAAGGAGCAAAACAGCAGGGAGGCTGTGTAGACGATGGGCAGCACGGCCAAGCCGCCGCGGCGTTTGATCCGGCTCTGGTAGAAATAGGGGTGCCCGATGGCTAGGTAGCGCTCCAGGGCCATGGCGAAGAGCATGAGCATGGTAGCCAGGCTGAAGAAGGTCATGGAGAAGGCAAAGTAGGTGCACACGCGTCTCTGGGGCGCCAGTGCCACCAGGGTCTGGTTCCGTGCGTAGGAAGCAAGCACCACAGGGCTGATGAGGCAAGTACCGAGCAGGTCGGTGAACACCAGCTCGGTCACCAGCACATGGAACAGCGAGATGGAGCTCCCGGGGCCGGCGCTGCGCCCCGAGTCCCCCCGCCAGCGGTGCGCCAGCAGCGCCAGAGCGATGAGGTTTCCCAGCACCCCGGCCGAGAACATCACCGCACTGATGGCAGGACTTTCACCCGAGGGAAGCCACTGTTCAGCATCGCAGTTCTCGAGCCTGGAGTCACTGGAAGTGTTGCCCATGGTAGGGTGCTGGGAGGAGAGATGCGTCCTCCTCTCCCGCCGGCCTGTACCTGGGAGGAGGAGGGTCTGAGAGCTGGAGTGCTCCGGGACCCAGAGGGAAAGGGGAGGGACCGAAATCCAGAGCCCTCTACTGGCCCGTGGCACGCACTGAGGGCAGGCTTGGCACGGGTCTCCCGAGGCTCCCACAGAGGCCACTCGGCTGCCGCATCCGGACGGCGCTCCAGGCTCCTCCAGGGACCCACACCCAGGGAGCCGCAGCCGCCTCCTCGGTGCTGCTCCGGGCGAGAACCCGCGAGCTGCCGGGAGGTGGACGTGTCACACGGATAGTCTCTCGCGAGCCCGGGAAGGGAGCGGGGGCGGAGAGGGGGCCAGGCAAGGCGCGGATGGCCTGCCGGAGAGGGGTCCTCCTTCCACGCTGCGCTTCCTCCTGGCTATTTTTCTCAGCCTGGAAGCGTTTAGCCCTGGTGGAGAGCTGGGAAGGAGGGCCGGGCACTTCGTGGTCTGCGCAGGACTCACTGAAGGCCGGGCAACACCGGAGAGAGCAAAGCGACTCACCAACCGATAGAGAAGTTAGGAGGACCCAGTCCAGTGAGACGGGAAAAAGAAGGGAACAACTGACACGAAAGATGGCTTGCAGTATGAGAAATATGTTCTTTTCCTTTCCTTTAAAAAAAAATCCTCAAGAAGATACACCAAGAGGCGGGACCAAAACTAAGGGGAAATGAAAATGCAAGCCTTTGCATTCAAGGAACAAACCACGCGCGCACTGAGCTATCTTGCACTTTTGCTTTGATTCGGTTGCCAGCATTTCGCCGTTTCCAATGTCAGCGCCATAACGGATAACCACTTGTTTAAGCAACCACTAAAAAAGAAAAAAGAAAAAAGAAAAAAGAAAAAAGAAAAAAAAAAGTTCCTTGTGATCGTGTAGAATTGTGTTTGTGGGCACAGCCTGAAACCACTGCACGTTGTTCGCAATTCAAGCTCAGCTGTGAAAGAAAATGTCGTTCAGCCATACATTTTGTCATGTTCAATTAACTGTGCCAGACCTACCCAGAAAGGTCCATTCTCAGGAAAGTTTATTGGTAAGTCACCAGTTTCGGAGACTGGCGCTGACAAAAATGATTGCTTACTTCCTACTGCAGTAATTACAGTTATGAAAATGGGTTGATGTTCAAAACAAAACAAAAAAGACAGACATGGGTAGTTACATTCTGTAAGGAAGATCATATTCCTTTGGGGAAGGGAGGAGGCATGGGAGCAGGGAGGATCTGCGTAGGGAACTGGCAAGAGGGTAAAGTCATGGTGTGAGAGTAAAGGAAAGACTGCCTGCTGTCTGTGACTACTTTAGCTCACTGTGATCACTCTGGCTTGGGGACGGGTTTGGGGATGGGGTTCCCAACAGGGCAAGCTCACAGGGGGTCTATTTTTCTCCTGTAAGAAGTTCAGAGATGGCAGGCTAGTGGGCCCCCCAGGTCTGGGTCCTCCAGGCCTGTCATTCCTGGCATGCTAGCATTCTGTCAACATCCCCTTCCCCACTGGTCAGCAGCTGCTGCCTGTATCCGTCAGATTTAAGCGGAGAAACAGAACCACTCTGATAAAGAATGAGTGTTTTATTCTTAGGCACTAGACTTGTGCTGTTCAATATGGCAGCCACTTGTGGCTATTTAAATTTAAATGAATTAAAATTAAATAAGAGTAAAAATTTAGTTTCTCCCTTGCACTAAGTACATTTCAAGTGCTAAAGACTCACATGGGGACTAGTGGTTACCATATTTGGGCAGCTCACTTAGAAAATACTTGCATCACTACAGAAGTTCTGCTGGACAGGGCTGCTTTAGACCTTACATGATGGTGGGAGAAGGTGGAGGAGTCTATGCTAGGCTGTTTGCTGTCTCTGGTTCTGATGTTGAGCTTGAAGTCACCATAGATCAGCTAGAGGCAGTCAGGATAGAAAGCTGGACATAGATGAGAGTAAGAACAGAATTAGAACTTGTGGGGACAAACTGAAATTCATGAACAACTGGAATCTTCAAAGACAGACTGGATCTGTGTGTGTCTCACTACTTTCGACATGGATAATGCAGATGTACTGCAGGAGAAGCTGGCACCCTGCACGGAGCTGTACATGCACTTGGCTTAGGACATGAAGAAACTGAAGATCTGGCAGGAGCTGGAGTCTGGGTGCTGCCTTATGACAGCAAGGGGAGCCAGTGGATCAGCCACAACGTGCTGGAGTTACCACCATGCCTGGAGCCGGCACTGTCCTTCAGGTGTGAAAACATAGCCACTGCTTTGCCTCTGCCTTGTAAAGTTCGTTCAACATTTTCCTCATGGCCAAATGCTAACCTGAAACCATGCAGGATTCTGGAAAACAGATCCTGCTTAGGTGAGTTGACACAGTACAAAGTCACTACACTGCCTCATAGGTCCAGAAATCAAGCCTGTTGAATATGCTACAGCCCAGAAATAATGTTATAGAAATGTACTGCCTCAAGGAGACATAATCTGACAAGTACACAGAGATGTTATACATACACAGAGAAAGCAGAAATAATGTTCATCACTGCAAGAATCTAGAACTCAATGTCCTTCTATTGAGGATTGGTTTAATAAATCTTGGTACACCTATGCCACACAATAGACAGTCATTAAAAAGGATGATGTTGATCTATATTTACTGATAATGATCTTTAACATGTATTGAGTTAAAAGCTTGTATGTTATTCCATTCACATAAAATTATATGCATGAGTATTTTCACAGAGCAGCATCTTGAAGGATGTTCAGCAAAATACTAATGATAATTTCTCTGGGTAGCACTTTATTCTTTATGCCTTCCTGTTTTGGCTGATTTTTCTAAGTATGTATTACCTTTATATCAGGAAATGCAAGAAAGGTGCTTTTAATTTGGAAAAAGATTAATCAATGGGGGAGTCTGTTCTACTTGGTAGAAGGCAGGGGGTTAAATGCTAAATATTTTCAGTTCTCTTCCAGTTCTACTCCCTAGTGAGTGAGAAGGTCTTGTCAGTTTCTTGAGACTGATCAAGAAGACTGGAGAAGTCACCCCTGCCGTTTTCACAAGGCTTTTGCAACTGTCCTTTTTATTTGAAGATTGGAAATCATCACACATTAGGCACCATTTCTAATGAGGTGTCCTGCCCCACTTAAAGTGATTGCTTTTACCTTAGGTCCTTGGTATCTAAGTTAGTGTCATTGCTTAACCCAATTCTGACACTACCATCACCAAGAAGTCCCTCCTCATAAAGGTGGGAACAGAAAAGTCAACAGAAGGGTCAAAAACAAAAAAAGCAGGCAATAGAAACTAACTTTGAAAGTTGTTCCAAAAATTAAGGGAAATTGTGAGTGGGCAGGTAGAGAATCTTAATAAAGAAATGGAAACTATAAAAAAGAACTAAATGGAAATTCTAAAACTAAAACTTACAGCAGTTTGGAGTTGCAGAATAAAGAGTGAATCTGAGTGATGTGAATCACATCTGGTTACCTTTCTCTTCATGTCATTGTGACTTCTGTGCTCCTGGGAACTATTCTCACTCCTTCTATACCACATGAGGCTTAGAGAATCCTCATTCCCTGATGCTTGCCCTGTTTCTACCCAAGAAGTGAAGCATGGGTTTTTTTTAATGCTCTCAGATCCTTCATACCTGTCTGAGATTGGTGGTACAACCTTATCTAGGAAACCCCTCTGTTAACATCTAAGCTCTCCTTGTTCTCTTGAACTTCACCTTCCTTCCTTCGCAGCCTGTGGAGTTAGTTGGGGGAGAAATGGTGAAACTTTGATCCTCCTCATCTCCTGTGGTCTGGCTCTTGCCTTTCAAAAGTCATCAACTAATAGTTGATACCTGTCAATAATGTTCTTTCCCTGAGGCAGTCAGTGCAGAATGCCCTAGATGCTGCTGCTAAAACCAGGGAAAGGTCTGGGATATCAGGAAGTACTGGGCAAAAAATACATAAGTTAATATCAGTCAAATTAGTATCTAGCTCTATTTGCATTCATGTAGGCTTGTGTGTGTAACCAGGGCTTGGTGGGACTTACTACATCCTCATGGGGTTGTTTGAGAAACAACTTGATAAAGTCTTTGCAAAACCCTGAGTCAATAAGAAGTACTTTACCAATGGATGTGAGAGTACAACAGTTCTCTTGTCCCCAGACAGGAAACATTAGAACGGTAAATCTACACACTGCTTACTAGCCCAAGGGCTTAGATCAAATGAGTCACTCCACTAATGGCAGGAAGGAAAATTTTCACTGTATTTAACATAATAGCTTTATTTTCATTAAGATTAAAATGAAAAGTATTACCCATAGAAAAGTCTATTTCTTGACCATACTATCATACTTTGAGTTCCTAATTACTTCTTCACTGTCAGAAGCCATCACTTGACAAAATTTTAAAAAGGGGTAAAAATGAGTCAGCTTTTGCCCCGAAGTTTCAGCTACTCCCATTCTTCTATCTCTGGTAGCTGCCCCCTGGACCCAATACACAGTATCACAAACTGAGAACTCCCAGAGCCCCACTGCCCCTGAGTTTCCTCTTTTTCTTCTCTCCAACATTCTCATATCAAATCCAGGAGAAGCAGGAGGGAGAAGAGTACTGACTTAAGAAAGACAGCAGCAAAACAGATAAACAAGGACCTACTGTATAGTACAGGGAACTATATTCAGTATCTTGTAATAACCTATTATGGAAAAGAATATGAAAAAGAATATATATATATGTAATATATATATAACTGAATCACTTTGCTGTACACCTGAAACTAACACGACATTGTAAAGCAACTATAATTCAATAAAAATTTGTTTTGAAAAAAAGCAGATAAAAATGTGGTTTGTTTTTATTACATGAGGATATACAGACATATTCCACAATTTGATTTGATATTAAATATTGTTGCCACATAGGGTGTGTTTTGTCATAGTGATGATCGTGTGTCAAAGGGAAATTCCCCAGGCTGTGGCTGAGTTCTATGTTTTTCTTTTCCACAGCCCTATTGCCTTCTAACACACCATGTTTAGTTACTTTTTGTTTTTGCTTGTTAACTATCTCCCTCTAATAGAATATCAGTTCCTACAGGGAAGGGATCTTGGTCTCTTTAATTCATTGATGAATCTCAGGGATTGGAACTGTGCCTGACATAGAGCAAACACTCTAGAAATATGTGCTCAATGAATGAAGGAGGGAGTGGTGGGCTGGGCCAGTGCTGCTGAAGGGTCTAACATGATGGGTGCAGAGAACCCACTGCTGACTTTTGCAGGAGGGCCTCCTCTGGTGACCCTGCTAAGAGCACTTTTGGTGGGGAGGTAGGGACAAAAACTTGATTAGAGAGGAGTTAGGGGAGAGGATGGGGAGAGAACCAATGGTGAGAAAACACAGGAATGAAGACCACAACATGGATGAGTTTGGTGAATGACAAGGGGTGCTGAGAAATTCAGCAGTAACTGGAGGGACTGTAGGGTTCCAAAATGAGTAATAGCATATAGACAGAAACTGTCTTGCAGAAAGGGAGAAAAAGACATGGAAGAGAAAATCAGTAATTCTAGTACAAACGTCTTGAGAATTGAGAGGAGAAGGATGGAGGGCACAAGTGGGGGGGGGGTGTCACAAAAAGGAGCAGGTGCACCTCCTCCATGGAAGCTGCATGAAGGTCAGGATGCAGGCACGGATGCAGGCAGGTGGGTGGAACTGGAGGGGAGGATGAGGAGGTTGTCCAAGACAGAAGGAAGAAGGAATGTTGGCGATTTCAAGTAGAAACGATGAGTAATCACCACCAAGAGAAGGAAAGTGCATGTGTTGGGAAACTGTGGCTGTTTATATCTAAATTAAGATAAGCTGTTGTGGAACTTGGCATTTATAAAGGCAGCATACTATATAGGTATGTATAAGTAAAAATCTCATTTTATTGAGCTTCATTTTTATTGCACTTCCCAGATTTTTTTTTAAAACAAATTGAAAGTTTTTGGCAACCCTGCATTGAGCAAGTCTGTCCATGCCATTTTCCCAGCAGCATTGGCTCACTTGTGTCTCTGTATCACATTTTGGTAAGGCTCACAACATTTCACTCTTTCATTATTATTATATTTGTTATGGTGATCTGTGATCAGTGATCTTTGCTGTTACTGTTGTA